TTCATTCAAAACCTGAACCTGAAAGCCTAAACCTTACGCCCTAAACCCTAAACCCCAAGCCTTAAACCCCAAACCTTGCACCCTAAACCCTAAACCCCAAGCCTTAAATCCTAAACCCCAAAAACCTTAAACCCTAAACCCTAAATCCTAAACCCCGTAAACCCTCCCAACTCTCAGATCTCGGCAAATTTCTCGGCATAGCCTGGCGGTGGTGGCTGCGCAGGCTCCCGAGGGCCTTCCAGATGAGCTGAGCTCAATGGTTGGCCCTGAGAAATAGGGTTTAGGGTGTGGGGTTTAGGGTTTGGGATTTAGGGTTTAGGGTTTAAGGTTTGGGATTTAGGGTTTAGGGTTAAGGGTTAGGGATTTCGGGTTTAGGGTTTGGGATTTAGGGTTTAGGGTTTAGGGTTTAAGGTTTTTCGCAGATGGGGAGTACATAGGGGTTGTATAGCGATATATAACCTTTTTGGAGGGACTGTAGTTGTGGAGTTATAGAAAGGGCTAATAGACAGGAAAATGGGGAATTACTTTTTGGCGTTTAAGGTGCAGAGCTTATGTTCCGAATGCCAATCTCATGAAGCAACTGAAACTAACTTTTTTTTTGTTTATCTGCTAGCTTGCCATTTTTATCGCTTAGCCTAAGCTCACTATCTGTTCTTCACGACCAGCTTGGACTTTTGGCCGGAAGGGGCATCAACCCTAGAAACCCACAATCCCGTACTTTCCTGTGCATTTCATTCTCGACTATTGTTATACTGGTAGATATTTAGAGCCCGAAGCACGCACCCCTCATTTTTCCGCGAGGCACAGCTACCTTTTCTGGAAGTGGCGGCCCAGCCTGAGCAGCGGGGCGATTCTGACCCTAAAGTAAGCATACAGCCTCAACCTGCAGGGTTTTGAAAAACAGAGAAGTCATCCGGAACGGCTGGTCAAGTTACTACAAGGCTTTCTGCCCTGCATACCTTGGTAGGTACGAGGAGTCAAGCACTTGAACGTTTCAGAGTCGGACGTGTTCCCTGGGGCCGCTGCCAGAGATCCTCGCCGTCGCTGGCACGGATGCACACCACCTGCTCCGCACAGCCGTTTGTCTCACCCAGAACTCTAGCTTGCACTGGGCAAGCTCATCTGCCGGGAGAGACAGAGATGAGGCATGATCGTACTAAGGGCTTTCTCTTTACACGTTTTACCCTTGCGAGAGCAGCCTGCGTGCTTGCTGCTCGTCGTGCGCGGATTTGCCGGTCCATCGTCCGCTTCAGAGCACGAAACTCTTCGAGAACCTGCAAGACTTCGTGACAATCTGTAAGCTATCCAGTCCTCCATCGCCCTGTCTGTGTTGCACTATAACCCCTATATAGTATTGTAGTTTCCATTTTATTTTCCATTATCCCTATATAACCCCAATATATTCCCTAATTATAACCCCAATATTACCCCCTAAGTACCCTCCCAATATAACCCCAATACATACCCTATAATCTATATATAACCCATTATAGTAGTTTCCATTTTCTTTTCCATTATCCCTAAGTACCCAAGTACATGATGAACAAAGCAAGCTGACATGACGCAATTGCCGGAACCTCGCTTTCCATGTTTTCCGGCTCCTTTGGTCATCCAGCACAAGAGTGGTGTTTTTTTGGTGGTTGGACCTAGTAAGATAATATTCCTTACGGAGGATATAATCTTACTCTATATTGGGTACCATAGTATCCCCAAACATAATACGACTCACAAGAACCAATCGCTGCTTGGAAGGTGCACTCCATCAAACCTATCAAGCAGACTAGCCAGCCAGCATGTAAACCCTCGAAACCAAAACCGGCACAAGACATCCGCCAGCAACGCAACGGCGAAAGTCCACAGGTCTCTTGACAGGCGAGTCTGGCTTATGGCAATGCAATTGGATGTTTACTATTATTGCTATTATTACTATGACTACTATTATTGCTCTTATTGCTATTATTACTCAATCTGGGCCCTTGACAAAGTGCGCCACGCAGGCCAACCACTTGACCTTGCTGGGTTCTCGCCCGTACGTGTCCTAAGATTCTGATCAACCTCGCTATTTTTTGCTACACCTTAGCATCTCCAACACCCCGAACTTCCGCCCTCTTTTCGCATCTACCTCTATGGACTGGCAAGGAATGGTCCCAGGACACATATGGGGTGGGCACGCTAAATATTAGGTGCCGTATTATAATAAGGAACCAAAAAAGGGGACCATAACTTTGACCACCACCCGTATGATCTCCAATACGAAGGGAACCACTGTAAATGCCTCTGCTCTCACGCATATAAAGCTCCAAAAGTGGCCATGTGAGCTATAGTCTAAACTCCTTGAAAAGGGGTTATATAAGGAATCATATAAGGGACTACTACATAGGGGCCATTAAGGGGTACACTAGGAGTTTAGCCTATGGCTCATGTGAAAGCCTTTTGCACCCCAGTAGCCGCGCTCAGCTCTTCCTCCGCTTCCTGAAACAAGCAAACACCAGCAAAACAACCTTGGGGTTATCTATTGAGATAATGGAAAATAAAATGGAAACTACTGTAGTATATTGGGGTTATAAATTGGGATAATGAAGAAGAAAACGGCAACTACTATAGTATATTCGGGTTGTATTGGGATAATGGACAATCAAATGGAAACTGCTGTCGTATATTGGGATTATAGATTGGGATGATACACCAGCAAAACAACCTGACTTGAACCTGTGTCAGCGCATCAGCCACTTCGCATACCCAAACCCCCTAAAGGATCCAAAAAATGGAAACCCCCAAAATGAAGCCATTTCTACATTGGGGAAACTAGGGGATTATTAGGGGGTTCCATGTCTTATATCCTTTAGGGGGTCTGGGTAACCCTGCCAACTGACCTCTGTTCCTCAACCTGCGCAACAGCTTACCCAAACTCGAAGCTTTGAGAGCCTCAGGTTGTCTATGGGGCTATATGGGGGTCATATGGGGGTTATATTGGGATAAGAAAATGGAAACTACTATAGTATATGAAGGGGTTCTATTGGGATAATGGAAAAGAAAATGGAAACTGCTATGATGGGTTATATAGTTGTGATTGAACTTGCTTGCTGCTATGTGGGTCAATTAAGTCTCCCAGCTCCAAGAAAACTACTGGTCAGAGCTTTCCTGAGGTAGGTTTTCTTGAGGGCCCCATTAAACCTACATGGTTATGGCTTTACAGGGCTCCTATAGGAACTAAAAATAACAAAATTGAAAAAGAATTTTCAAACTAACCCTAAACCCTAAACCCCAAACCCTAAACCCTGAACCCTAAATCAGAGTTTCGGGCACCTTGCCTTGAGAATGGCAACTTCCAGTCGAGCCTGTCCAGCAGGGTCTCGGGTCCAGAAGCCAGGGGTCCAAACAGAATCTTGAATGGAAACTACTATTTAGGGTTTAGGGACATTAACACCAATCATGGAGAATCAAGTGCAAAAGAACATGGAAAATGAAATCAAGACTAGGACTTTGCAGTGGTCTATGGGGAGCAGGGCGTCCATAAGTTGGGGGTCCCTTTTTGGCGTAAAATTGTGTAAGTGCAAAGGTACTTATACCATGTGTTGTTTTGCAGAACTCTTGCCCATTTTGGCGTAGATGTAACCGCCGTATTCCCCTCCTAGGGTTCAAAACCATTATCGCAACAACTGCCCCATCATCCCTATCCAAAACAGCCCATATTCATCAAATCAACACAACACCAACAAAGTACGCATCCAAAATTAGAAATCTCATGTTCCCTCATACAAGATGAACTCAAGATGAAATATGTCTCATCAAAGAAGGCATCAAGGCGGTTCTGTCCAGTCCGGATTGGGCATGAGTAGGTTCATAGATTTTATCAGGGGTAGTAAACGGTTGTAATCACAATAGAAATATTACCCATTAACCCTGAGGAAATGTGATTACATTATACTTATGTCCTTCACTTTTCCGTGTCTTGCTAGTGTTGTATTCTTTCATGGCATCTAGGCATTTGCAAGAAGTCACTGTGTGTTTGTACTGCAGTAGATACCTATCTGCTTTAGAATAGTAATGCTCTTGAAAATTCATGAAATTCTTCCATTCTTTACATCTAACACACTTCCTATCACAAGGAGGATGATAATCAACATATACTGTCATATTGCCCTTGTGATATCATATGAAATATTGCGAATATCCAATATTTGCGAGGGCCAGGCTGGGGCCTTAATGTTGGGGGGAGGTCATTATTTTGAGAGACCCGCACATGAAGGCATATATGTATGTTGAGGGTAAAAGGGATATTACCTTGCATTAAAAACATTCTGGGAAACCCCACATGAGCTGCAGACCACAATTCCTACATAATTCCATGGACATGGGTCCCTCATTAGGGAGCAGACTACGAACTATGCTAAACAAAGGTGGACCCCTGTGTCCGCGGTTAAGGTCCCTTATTAAGGCTACTCTTCACAGTTGCTCTAATAAACATCGCTTACCCTAAACCCTAAACCCTAATCCCTTAACCCTAAACCCTAATCACCCCTAAACCCTAATCCCTAAACCCTAAACCCTAATCACCCCTAAACCCTAAACCCTAAACCATAATCCCCAAGGCTTACATGAAAGCTTGGAGGGCGCCTGCATGGCCTCCACTCTTTGGCAGACCTCCTCAGATTGCAGAGCAACCTGGCAGTGAGGATGGGAATCAAATTCGGGTAGCTTAGAGAGTGTATAGGGTTTAGGGTTTAGGGTTTAGGGTTCAGGATATGGAGGTTTAGGGTTTAGGGTTTAGGATATGGAGGTTTCCCAAGATTAGGGGCACCTTTTTGGGGGGGTGTCCATAATAAGGCTGTTACTATGTTAGGGTCTTTATTGGGGTCCCCCTATTTTCGCAAACCACCATTTTTCCCATAATAAGGATATCTAAGGTTATGTGGGGGGGTCTGTGGGGCTTTTTACTCCCATATACCCCCAAGCCCCCAACATCCCCCAACACTAATATCTCGCCCCGTTCTTCGATGGCAAGAAGGGGCATCCCTCCCAAATATGTCATGGTAGCATGCTGAGAATATTGACTTTCGTCTCCTAGTGTCCTAGGTCCTAGCCTGCATATCTCATGTTGCGCTCTTCCCTTCCTTTTGACAGAGAGCGCGGGACAAACGGTTCAGTGACCAGGCGTAATCAGTCTGAGAACCCTAAACGCTGAACCACTCAAACCCTAAACCCCTAAACCAAAAAAAAAAACGAAACCTCAAACCCTCTAAACCTTTAACCTGACCCTAATCGACTCAAAATGAACGTTTAGGCCTACCAGACCTGCGGCCGTGGGCCTCCACGCCAGCTCGCTGGGGTGTCCTTGCGCTGAAGAATGGCCTGGCTGCGGCTTAGAGTTTAGGGTTTAGGGTTTAGGGTTTTGGGTTTTGGGTTTTGGGTTTAAGGTTCAGAGTCTATGGTTTGGGATTTGGGGGCCTTTCCGTCTGCGCGAATGCTAAATGCCCACCCTTCGCGGGGTTTAGGGTTCAGCGTCTGAACGCCAAACAGCAGGCCCTAAACCCTAAGTAGCAGTTTCTACCACATACGGGAACAGGGCTGCAGGGCTTCCGGATTTTCAGCTTCAGGTTTGAGTGTTTCAGCCCGTGCTGCAATGCAAGGCATATGGATCTCATTACACCGGTGGCCCACATTATGTAGGACTTCTACGGGGTCTAGGGCTATATACGGGAATGGAAAAGAAAATGGAAGCATTCCACTCCTCCCTCAAAACCAGTGGCTTGTTGTGATGGTCTAGAGTGCTCTGCGAGGGCGCACGTGCTGCTCTCCCTTGTCATACACTCCTACTTCAGTTCAGCGAGGAATGAAGGAGTGGATCATTGTAGTAATCCCCAAATCATCCCCAATAATGAAATTAAAGGACAACAATTTTCTGCTTCAGTCATTGCCTGCTAAAGAGCAGGGAGGCAAGCCATACAAGATGCAGGCCTTTGGAACATCAGCCCCGTTGGCGGAAAGCGATGCCTCAAATCCCAGTTTAGGGTTTGGGGTGAGGGTTTAGAAGGCCACCCTAAAACATATGGAGCTACATAGGGCTACATAGTTCAGGATCGAAGCACGTCAGGGCCCAGGATTTCCCCTCCTCAACATAAGTTCACGGCCAGACTTTAAGTCTCAGGCGAAGGCCTTACAATACGTATGTCCTTTATAAAAATCCCAGTGTCCATATCATGTTCCATTTCATTTTCGAGTCGATTCTCCACCATGAAGGGAATAGATATATACATATATATATGCATATATATATATCCCTATTTACCAAATTGCAATCTTGGTCAAGAAGACTGCGCATCATGGATTTGCCGGCGAAGGGCGTCTTGACGTAGATGCGCCTCTCCAAGAATCAGACATCCAAGCAAATGCAAGCGCCTATGAGCGAGTCTGCCCACTGCGTGGCCCTTGTACCGCGTTGCTGTTAAGGAACTAACATTAAGTTACTATAATGAGGGTATACAAGAAGTAATGGAGTTCCCTTTTTATGGTAACTTAACTTGAGTTCCTTAAGGGCATCCCAGTCGTAAGGTGATAGCTGGCCACACACAGGGCAGTCAGACACTACAACTGTCGAACTTTGGGGTCCTCAGTGCTCTGTTTGTGCCTGACCTCCCCATGTAACCCTAAACCCTAGACCCTAAACCCTAAACCCATGACTTCCGTACTCCGGGCCTGTGCATTGCTGCCTGGATGAACTCCATGGAGAGCGCACCTTGTGCAACCTGTAGACGGACGGCTTCACATGAGCTATGGTCTGAACTCCTAGTACCCCCCTTAGTAACCCCTATAATACTCTCCTATATAATCCCCTACATAACCCCCTTTAGGCTACAGCTCACGTGAACTTGGGAAGTGAGTTTAAGTCCTATTTGGGCTGTTGCAGGTATTGTGCCTTTCAAGGCTTTCCGAAAGGAGTGCGAAACACCGGCCTTAGAAGCCTCCCCCAACTGACAGTAGTTTCCATGTTCTTTTCCATTAGCCCTATCTAACTCCTGTATCACCCCAACATAACCCCTATTGCAATTTGATAGTGCGGAGAAACTGAGCTGGGCAGACCAGGGCCGCGGTAGCCACCATTTTTCGGATCTGGTGGGTCAGGAAGCTATCCCCACCTGAGCGTGATATTCTGGTCTTGATGGTCCAGGCTGTTACCCTTGCCTAGTTGCATTGTTTTCAGTGAGCTCGCTGGTTGCTGGGCCGATTGCTGATCTCCAATGGGAGCCACTCTCTGCCAAAGTCATCCACAAAGGGCTCCCCGCTGTAGACCCTGCCAGCCAGGGTTTGGAGAAGAAAATGGAAACTACTATAGTATATTGTTGGTGTTATATTGGGATAACGGAAAATAAAATGGAAGCTACTATTTAGGGCTTTGGGAACTTGTTGGAGCTTGCAGGGCTTACATCGAAGAGTTGACGCAATCAAATTCGTGCCGAAAGTTTGGCGTGCCTGGCCTTGTGCTCAGGCCAAGTTACGTCTACATCGTAGCACGTGGCGAGACATGGTTTTTGAACTGGCTCTCCATTCTTAGCCCATGTGTCCAACAAAACCCACACATGCCAAGTCACCCTAAACCCTAAACCCTAAACCCTGCAACCCTAAACCGCTGCAGCCTCCGGAGATGTCGAAAGCCCTGTGGGCCCTTGGCTAGCGAAACAGTTTTCTCTTGTCCTCATGCCAGTACAATAGAGTTAAAGATGCTAGAGTTTCGACCCTAAACCTTAACCCTAAACCATTACTATGTAGTCTCCTATATACTCCCCTATATAGCCCCGTTTATAGAGTTTGAGCTCATGTGAGGGGCTGGCCATGGGGTCGAGCTTCTTGTTGGCAAAGTTACCAAAGTAGTGCCTGGCAGAGACAGTTGAGGTTTTAAGGGTTTAGGGTTTAGGGTTTAAGGTATACTTTAGGAGGACCCCCCACCCTGTAATAGTGGTATAATAGGAATATAAGAGGACCCTAATATAATGCTTACTATTCCTTATAGTCACTATTACTGGGTGGGGGGTCCACCTAATCTATTCTGGGGGTCTTACTAAGGGCGGTATGTAGCTATCTTACTATTAATATTTTGTAGTTTTATTGTACAACTGTTACAGGGTGAGGGCAGTACCCAACGTAGGGGCTAAGGAAACTCCTGAAATTTGAAAAGTATGGGTAGTTCCCAAAAATCAGGATCCCATTTCGGTACAACGAAATATTATGAACTGGCGTTCTAGAATGTTTAGAATCAAGAAGGGCCCCTGATTTCGAGAAAAACCCCTATGCTTGAACTGAAGGCTTAAACCCTAAACCCTAAACAAGCTGCGCACACGTGCCCTCGAAGCTGTAAAAAGCTTCGCGAAAGCGGTGGAGCTGCTCTGCACTGAGCCGAACCTTCCAGGAAGGACTTGTGGGCAGGATTCACTTGAGCTACACAGTCTAAACTCCTAGCAGGCCCCTGCATAAACCCTATAATCCTCCGCTGTATACTCCCCTTTAAACTTACTCACGCTGCTTCAGACACTCCAAATGAATTCCTTTGCAGGGGTAGGGTGGATTTGTTGGATACAGGCCGCGATGTGTGTGGTGAGCTGTATCCGCAAAGCCTTCCGCAAACCAAGCTCCTCCTCGATCTGCTTCAAATCCTGGCTGTTGCCCAGAGTGGCTCATAGGCTTCCTAAAGAAGGACAGGCAGACAATGCATTCGTGCCAGAGAAAGACGTGACACTTGGTTGTTTTCTTAATAGGGGGCCCCCAGGATAGACCCTAAAATACTATCATGTATCATCGTTGGTGTAGGGGCCCCCTAAAAATACAACTAATTTTGGGAAACCCCCACTTCTTGCGGGCCTCGGCGCTGAAAGCGGTCGGGGGATCGAAAGGCCTGGCAGACGCTCCCCGGCTGACAGCTCAACATGAGTCGGTCTAAACTCCTAGCTCCTCCTTAATAACCCCTACAATGATCCCCTGTATAATCCCCGTTTAATCCCCTATATAATCGCCTATATAATCCCCTAAATCATCCCCAGGAGTTTAGACTATAGCTCCCTAAACCCTAAACCCTAAACCCTAATCCCTAATCCCTAAACTCTAAACCCTATATAATCCCCCTTTAAGGANNGGAGTTTAGACTCTAGCTCACATCTCAACGCACCTTTCCCAGCCTCTTCGCAGCAAGCCATTGGCGGACTTTGGCCAATGTAGGCACAACCTTGGTCTGGAAGCAGAAGCTGGGTTGAGGGTTTAGGGTTTA